TGTTAGCCAGGATGGTCTCGATCTCCTGACCTCGTGATCCACCCGTCTCGGCCTCCCAAAGTGCTGGGATTACAGGCCTGAGCCACCACACCCGGCAGAAACTGGTCATTTATTCCAGAAGTGGTCATTTATTATCAGCTGCTGCCGCAGTTAGATGCAGTAGTCCAGGAACGTGAGTGGGGATGTGTGTGGACAGGAACACTCACTGGAGACCCTTTTTTCTTGCCCCAGCAGTTGTTTCCTGTCAGCTATGGAGTGATGAGGTCATTCACTTCGTTCTGGCCAGTCATTGATATGATTTGGCATTCTCTGCATGCCAGGCAAGAGTGACTGCTCTTCAGGCCAGATCTTCCTTCGAGATGGATGTTATCTCCTTTTTAGGAAGGAGGAAACAGAGAGACCTCGTAACTTGGCGTGGCCACACAGTGAGTCACGCAGTTAGTAAGGATGGAATTCATACCCAGGTCTGCCTGACTCTGGGATTATGAAGAATTACATGGTTCCACCTCAGTCCCAAGGTCATCTTTGCTGTGCCAAAAGGGAAAACTGGAAATAGGGGTGGTCAGAGCAGGAGGTGCTTTTTTTGGTTTTGTTTTTCCTTTAAAACAACCTGCAGAAAAAATCTAAAACATTCGCAGGGATAGCGTTCTTCACAATTTTTTAAATCTTCAAAATGTAATTTTAATTACACAAGTAACACAGGCTCATAAGCCCACTGGAGGAAAATCATAAAATACTAAAAAAAGTAAAAGGGGAAAAACGAAAGTCACCCATAATCCCACTAATCAGAGATGATCTTTTTTTATTATTATTCTACTTTAAGTTCTAGGGTACACGTGCACAACGTGTAGGTTTGTTACGTATGTATACATGTGCCATGTTGGTGTGCTGCACCCATTAACTCGTTATTTACATTAGGTATATCTCCTAATGCTATCCTTCCCCGCCCCACCCCCACCACAATAGGCCCCGGTGTGTGATGTTCCCCTTCCTGTGTCCAAGTGATCTCATTGTTCAATTCCCAGCTATGAGTGAGAACATGCAGTGTTTGGTTTCAGAGATGATCATTTAATGATGACATTTTAGTAATGCCTTTTGATAAGCAAAATGGGATCATACTGTTCATATTACTCTGTAGCTTAGCCCTCTCTTAACAGACATCCTTCTAGGTTAATAAATATGGATCGCATTATTATCTTTATGGGCTGTAAGATAAATAATAACAATATTGAGCATCTAATGGTAGATTATGTCCATCGTTTGTTCCCATCTCACTCAGAGCCTCAGTTTTCCCACCTGTAAAAGGGACGATTCATACCGTTAACAGACTGAAATGAGGTAATGCTTGTAAACCTGTTAGCACAATGCCTGACAGTAAATGCTCAGCCCATTAAGAAGAGCTATTATTATTCATCTAATAAATAAATAAATTCCAACATTTATTAAGTTCTTCCTCTGTACCAGGTATTATGCTAAGGGTTCATTTAATCCTGACACCAGGCTGGATTACAGGTGGCTCACACCTGTAATCCCAGCACTTTGGGAGGCTGAGGCAGGTGGATTGCTTGAGGTCATGAGTTCAAGACCAGCCTAACCAACATGGTGAAACCCTGTCTCTACTAAAAATACAAAAATTAGCCGGGTGTGGTGGTGTGCGCCTGTAGTCCCAGCTACTCAGGAGGCTGAGGCAGGAGAATCACTTGAACCTCAGAGGTGGAGGTTGCAGTGAGCCGAGATTGCACCACTG